AAAACATATATTTTAACCTACTGAAAGAAGTTTACCCCTTTCTACTTTTTAATTATGACTGAAAACCCCAAGCTTGGTACGTTATTTGGCCTTTTAATTGGACATCCAATCTCCTGGAGCCTATCCAAAGTGTTCAGCAGCTGTCGAGTTTGTTTCTGTTTTTCCCTACCTTAATGCTACCTTCCACCATGAGAGTTTTCCTCGGATTCTCCCTCTAGCTTCAGCTGAGCAGAACTTCCAACCTTACTTTAACTTCTCACAAATGAGGGCGTTCAGACTGAATGTGAACTCCCACACATTCCATGTAACAAACTATTGAGTTAGCATTTTCTCTGCTTAAGGTGCAGACCTGCCTAACATCTATCCCTCTTTGCATTCCAATTCCCTGCAAACCACGAGACCAAAAACTTCAGTTGCCCTCTTTGTAGTTTTGTGGCAATGCTTTTAACCTGATCTCAAAAAGATCTGTTCTCTTAAAACAAAGAATAGTACAGCACAGGAATAGGCCCTTTGGCTCACCAAGACTGCACTGATACATGATGCCCTTTTAAACTAAAAACTTTTTGCCTCTACACAGACATAGCCCTGTATTCCCTGCCTGTTCGTGTATCTGACAAATGGCTTTTAAACATTGCTATTGTATCTGCCTCACTACCTTTTCTGGTAGTGTATTCCAAGCACTTGCCACCCTCTGTGTAAAAAGTTTGTCTCTTACATCTCCTTTAAACTTTCCCCTTTTAACTAAAACCTGTGTCTCTGTAATTGACATTTCTACCTTGGGAGAAAGACTCCAACTAACCACCTTATACATGCCTTTCATAATTTTGTAAACTTCTAGGAGGTCGACCCTGATCCTTCGACACTCAAGTGGAAACAAACCAAGTTTGCGAAATCTCTCTCCATTGCTAAAACCCTGATAAACCTTTTCTATACCTTCTATAAAGCCTTCACATCCCTCTGGTAGTGTGGCAACCTAAACTGTAAACAATGTTTCAAATGTGGCCTGACTAAAGTTCTGTGTTGCTGCAATATGACTTGCCAATTTTTATACTCCATGCCCAACTGATGGAAGCAAGCATTCTGTATGTCTTCTTGACCACCTTATCCATTTCATTTTCAGCCTAGGTCCCTCAATATGTTGATGCTTCTAAGGGTTCTGCCATTTACAGTATACTTCTCTCCTGCATTATATCTTGCAAACTACATCACCTCACACATGCCTGGATTAAACTATCTGCTATTTCTCTGCCCAAGTCTCCAGCCTATCAATAACTTGCTGTATCCTCCGCATCTCTCTCCTGTCCGCTCCCCCAGTCTTTGTGTTGTTTGCAAACTTAGTAAACAGGCTACCTACATTCTTCTGCAAATCATTTGATTCCTGCAGAATACCACTGGTCACATCTCCAGTCAGAAAAATACCTTCCACTGCCACTCTGTGTGCCATGACTAAGCCAGTTCTATATCCATCTTATCAGCTCACTGTGGATCTCACACAACTTCAGCTTTTGTATCAGCCTGCCATTAGGGACCTTATCAGAGGCCTAGTTAAAGTCTGTGTATACAACATATCGCCTTGTTGTCATCAATCACCTTTGTTACTTCCTCAAAAAACTCAGATAAGTTTGTGCGATGCAATGTTCCCCACACAAAGCCATGCTGCCTATCGCTGATAAGTCCATATTTTTCCAAATGCAAGTAAATCCTATCCTTAAGAATCTTCCCCAGTAATTTCTCTACAACTGGTATAAGGCCCACCGGCCTTTAATTTCCCAGATTATCCCTGTTTCCCTTCTTATACGAAAGAGCAATGTTGGCTTTTCTCCAGTCCTCTGGGACTTCTCCTGTAGCTGAAGAGGATACAGAGATCTCTGTCAAGGCCCCAGCAATTCCTCACCGGCCTCCCTCCGCATTCAGGGATAGATCCCATCAGGTCCTGGTTACCTATCTACCTTAATGTGTTTTAAAACACACACAGCATCTTTTTTAACAAGAAGTCCGACATAGACTGGTTGGACCAATGTGTCTGTTTCCATGCTGTGTAACTCTATAACTATGACTCTATGACATGCCCTGGAATACCGACATGCCCTGGAATACCAACATATCCCTTCTGAGACTCATCATCTACCATGTCTTTGTCTTTTGTGAACACCAATGCAAAGTATTTGTTAAGAACCTCACCCACTTCCTGCACACACACAAATTCCCCCCTTTTGTCCTTGAATGGATCTACCCTTTCCTTAGCTATCCTAGTGCTCCTTACATATGTATATGTACATATCACCGTCTCCTGCCTGGTAACTGGAAACACTTTGGCCTTGTATCCAACCAGAATTATTGATTGCTTATTGCTGATAACCACTGTCTGGCATCTTAAAAATGAAAGGGCAGGTTTCAGCAGAACTGTTTACAATCTGACATTAGTAGCACCTTTTTGGATGTTGGAGACTTTGGATTTTCTCATTATGGACTTAGAAACAGCTGACATTGTCCCCAAGTGTAAGCATGCAGCACCTTCATTTCAGTAATCTGCCTTTTCCTTTTGACTTTTCACAAATAAACCACCCAGAGCTGTTGTGAGATAAATTCTAGCTTGTGTTACATGATCCATTCCATTTATCCAAAGTTCTAAAAATATAGTCCCAAATTACAACATTGTTACAAACAAAAAGCTATAATCTGAAAACATCATCCAATTAACTGCGTTTGTAACATATGCCAGATTGACACTCCATATCCACTGGTTTGTTGCCTACATCAGACCATATCTCAATCCCACTTGATGACTAAGTCACCTGACTCCCAAAGTCTTCTACCCATCTACTACAAAGTGCAATTCGGATATAGGTGGAATGGACGTACCAATCTGGTTAAATGAGGCTGTAACAACATCTAAGTTTAACATCATCCAGAACAAAACAATCTGTTTCCTTGGCACCCCTTTCTGCTTGAGCTTTCACACCCTCCACTACCAGTGCACAGTGTCTGCGCTGCGCCTATTTGCCATAACTCCTTGTAACAGCATCTTCCAAATTTGCAATCTGTACACCAAGAAGTACAAAGGCAGCAGATGCATGGAAGCATTACCATTTGACTCATGGAGATAGCACCACCTTCAATTATCCTTTCAAATCTCATGCCATCCTGTTTTGCACTGTTATTGTACTGCTGACCTTCACTGTTGCTTTGTCAAAACAAAATCCTGTCGCTCCGTTCCTGAGAGCACTGTTGGTGTACCCAAGCCAGGTTGACTGCAGTAGTTTAAGAAAGTGTCTTGCTGCCACATTCTCAAAATCAATTGGTTGGGTGATAGATGCTAGCCTGACCAGTGGCCCTTGCATCCCACAAGCACATTAAAAAATAGAACTGACACAATTCAACTCCTTTCTATCAGTGGGATCCTGCTGTGTTCGTTGGCTGACAATGCATATATAGGCACGTCAGTAATTCAACCAGTCATCAAGTGGAATTGAGATACAGTCTGGTATAGGCAACTATCCAGTGGATATTGTGTCAATGTGGCATATGTTGCAAGCGCAGTTTATAGTTAATGATGTTTTCAGGTAATATCTTTTTGTATAGAAGGGATCCTGCAAGCCTTGTCTTTCTATCACCTGTCTTTGCTGTTTATTCCACTAGCTATAAAAAACATACGAGAAGGGACCAGGAGTCCCAGAACAGGCCACGATGTCCATGGGGTCAAGCGGACCTATGACCTAATGGAAAGCGGATTAAGTAGAGTCCCAGTGCGTGAATCCTCGGTGTCTGCACCTTATGAAGGTAGGGCAGTATGGGTGTGTATTACTGTTTGGTGTTTCACCTACAGTTTACGTTCCATTAATTGACAGAACCGCATCAGGAATCTTGGAAGTTTGCACTATAATGTCAGTCTCAAAGAAGTAGTGTCAAAAGAGCTGAGGAGAAAGAATTCACTGAAATTCCAATATGCCATCAACACAGAATAATCATGTTAAGAAAGTGCCCTAAAATAACAGACTAAGTTTTCAGGGGAGGTTTTACTTTGGCCGTCATGCGCGCAGTGTTTGTTACAATTACAGATTGGATCCATTTGAAAAAGCATGATTCGAAAGCCGATCCTGTTAAATCTGTTAAATGAACATCTGTCCTTTGAGGAGGATTGAAGTGTTCCACCTATTTGTTGAATAACTTCCTGGATTTGCAAGTTAACCTTTATTTTTGAAATAGTGTAATTTTCAGCTCAATTAGCCTGTGGCTTACCTTCATTTAATTATGATTTAATCCATGTAGTCATTCAGAAATTGGTTGTCTCTTTGTTTTAAATAGAAATGTCGGCAATAAATTAAGAGCAGCAAATGAGATATTGAAAATAAACTCTGTTTCCCCAATGCAGGTCTCATCAGTCGTGCAAGGGAAAGCCCACATTTAGCAGAATCTAAAGATAGGGCTGTTCCATCAGGATCAATAATGCAGGGTAAGCTTCCTCCTCCAATCCTTGACACATTGATTTATAGTCATAGAGTGACAGAGATGTACAGCATGGAAACAGCCACTTGGGTCCAACCAGATACCCTAAATAAATCTAGTCCCATTTGCCAGCATTTGGTCCATATCCCTCTAAACCCTTCCTATTCATATACCCATCCAGCTGCCTTTTAAATGTTGCAACTGTACCAGCCTCCACCGCTTCCTCTGGCAGTTCATTCCATACACGCACCACTGTCTGCATGAAAAAGTTGCCCCTTAGGTCCTTTTTAAATCTTTCCCCTCTCACCTCAAACCTATGCCCTCTAGTTTTGGACTTTCCCTATCCTGGAGAAAAAACCTTGGCTATTTACCCTATCCATGCCTCTCATGATCTTATAAACCTCTTTAAGGTCACCACTCAGCCTCTGATGCTCCAGGGAAAATAGCCCCAGTCTATTTAGCCTCTCCCTATAGCTCAAACCCTCCAACCCTAGCAACATCCTTGTAAATCTTTTCTGAACCCTTTCACTTTACATGTCCTTCCTATAGCAGGGAGACCAGAATTGCACACAGTATTCCAAAAGGGCCTAACCAATGGCCTGTATAGCTGCAACATGACCTCCCAACATCCTATACTCAATGCACTGATCAATAATGGCAAGCGTACCAAATGGCTTCTTCATTATCCTATCTACCTGCGACTCGACTTTCAAGGAAATATGAACCTGCACTCCAAGATCTCTTTGTTCAGCAGCATTCCCCAGGACCTTACCATTAAGTGTATAAGTCCTGCCCTGATTTGCCTTTCCAAAATGCAGTACCTTTATCTAAATTAAACTCCCATCTGCTGCTACTCAACCTGTTGGCCCATCTGATCAAGGTCCCGTTGTACTCTTAGGAACCTTCTTTGCTGTCCACTACACGTCCAATTTTGGTGTCAACTGCAAACTTATTAACCGTACCTCCTACGTTCACATCTAAATCATTTATATAAATAATGAAAAGCAGTGGGCCCAGCATCGATCCTTGTGCCACACGCCTTCAGCCTGAAAAACAAGCCTCTACCACCACCATCTGTCTTCTACGATCGAGCCAAATTTGAACCAGATCTGAGGACCTTGAGCTATCTAAACAGCATTTGGGTTATACAGTTGGTGTTGAATTGTACCGTACTTCTGAAGTTGTATGTCTTGAGTAATAAAAAGACACTAGAGTTGTCAGGATCCTGTTTAAAACACATTTCTGTCCATGTTCAATAACTGGAGGGGGATATTTCCCTTCCTTTACCAAAGTTAACATACTGTGGGTATGAGACCGGAAATTTTATGTACTGATTTGCCATAACCAGCCCTTGGAAGTTGCAGGAATAAATACAGTGAGTTCCTTACCAAAGTTTACAATAGCGATGGCTCAGGGCATGAACACTGTCTGTTTATCCCACTGAAGTAATTCAGAGCTTTGCCTAGCATTGCAACCTTTCCACTCTGACCATTGATTAAAGATGCTAAAGATTTAATTATGAACATACAAAATAGGAGCAGAAGTGGACCATTTGGGCCCCTTGGGCCTGCTACGTTACTCAATATGATCTTAACTGATCTGATTGTTAGTTGTTTCTGATGATGTTCTGTTAGGTACACCAAGAGCATCCAGTGAGACCTTTGAAGAAAGCATGAAGTATGGTAAACAGATCAAACGGGAAAGCCCACCACTGCGAACCTTCGAAGGGTCCATCACAAAAGGCAAACCTTATGAGGGAGTCACTACCATTAAAGAGATGGGTCGCTCAATCCATGAAATTCCAAGACAAGAAAATCGCAAAACCCCAGAAATTGTACAGAGCAGCAGATCGATTGTGGAAGGATCTATATCTCAGGTATCTCTTCGGCATATTAAAGTCGTCATCTTACATTTAGTATTCACTTCAATAAAACAGATACATTAACATGAAAGTTATGCTGAATCATGGTCTGCATATCTGCAGGTATGCTGCATAATCTCCGTTTGCTGATAGCAGTCTTTGGATCAGTTTAGCTGTCAGCTGTGGCTCATTGTGTGTCATTTTGATGGAAGCATGTGGTTTTCAGCCCCATTCCTGAACTTCAGTCCATAATCCAGACTTAAAGTCCCAGAGCAGTACTGAGGGAGTGCTGCACTGTTTGCTCAGCTGAACAAAGCACTATGCAAAGAAGAGCAAAGACGGTTCACCCTGGTCCCATAATCAGCCTTTATCCCTCAATCAACATCATAATATGTATAATTATTTATTGATCTTATTGCTGGTTTTTAAAATTCATTTACGGGATGTGGGCATTGCTGGCTGACCAGCATTTCTTGCCCATCCCTAGCTGCCCTTGAGAAGGTGGTGGTGAGCTGCCGCCTTGAACTACTGCAGTCCACCTGCTGTGGGTTGACCCACAATGCTATTAGGGATGAAATTCCAGGATTTTGACCCAGCAACAGTGCGGGAATGGAGATATCTTTCCAAGTTAAGATGGTTAGTGGCTTGGAGGGGAACTTGAAGGTGGTGGTGTTCCCATATACCTACTCCCCTTGTCCCTCTAGATGGAAGTGGTCATGGGTTTGGAAGGTGCTGCCTGAGGGTCTTTGGTGAATTTCTGTAGTACATCTTGTAGATTGTAGAAGGAGTGTGTACTGTGCGTTGGTGATGGATGGAGTGGATGCTTGTAGATGCAGTGCCAGTCAAGCGGGCTGCGTTGTCCTGGATGATGTCAAACTTCTTGAGTGTTGTTTGGGCTGCACCCATCCAGGCAAGTGAGGAATATTCCATCATACTCCTGACTTGTGCCTTGTAGATGGTGGACAGGCTCTGGGGAGTCAGGAAGTGTGTTACTCACTGCAGTATTCCTAGCTTCTGACCTGCTCTTGTAGTCACTGTGTTTATGTAGTGAGTCCAGTTGAGTTTCTGGTCAATGATAACACCCAGGATGTCAATAGTAGGAGATTCAGTGATGGTAACACCATTGAATGTCATGGGGGCAGTGGTTAGATTGTCTCTTATTCATTATGGTCATAGCCTGACATTTGTGTGGCGCAAATGTTACTTGCCACTTGTCAGCCCAAGCCTGGCTATTGTCCAGATCTTGTTGTATTTGGCCATAGACTGCGTCAGTATCTGAGGAGTTGCAAATGGTACTGAACGTTGTGCAATCATCAGCAAACATTCCATTTCCTGACCTTATGTTGGAGGGAAGGTCATTGATGAAGCAGCTGAAGATAGTTGGGCCTAAGACACTACTCTGAGGAACTCGTGCAGAGATATCCTGCAGCTGAGATGACTGACCTCCAACAACCATGACCATCTTCCTATGTGATGGGTATGATTCTAACTGCCAGACAGTTTGCTGCCAGATTCCCATTGATTCCAGTTTTGTCAGGGCTCCTTGATGTCACACTTGAATGCAGCCTTGACGTCAAAGGCTATCACTCTCACCTCTTTTTGTCCATATTTGAACCAAGGCTGTAATGAGATCAGGAGCAGAGTGGCCCTGGCAGAACCCAAACTGGGCGTCACTGATCAGGTTATTGCTGAGCAGGTGCTGCTTAACAGCGCTGTTGGTGACACCTTCCATCACTTTATTGATGATCGAGAGTAGACTGATGGCGCAGTAGTTGGCCGGGTTGGATTTCCCCTGCTTTTGGTGTACAAGACATATTTGGGCCATTTCCCACATTGCTGGGTAGATGTCAGTGTTGTAATTGTACTGGAACAGCTTGGCTAGGGGAGCGGCAAGTTCTGGAGCACAAGTCTTTGGTATTGTTGCCGGAATGTTGTCAGGGCCCATAGCCTTTGCAGTATCCACTGTCTCCAACCGTTTCTTGATATCACGTGAAGTGAATCAAAGTGGAGTGATTGAAGACTGGTATCTATAATGCTGAAGAACACTGGAGGAGGCTGAGATGGATCATCCACTCAGCACTTCTGGCTGAAAATGGCTGCAAAAGCTTCAGCCTTGTCTTTTGCACTGATGTGCTTGGTTCTTGCAACATTGAGGATGGGTATATTTGTGGAGCCTCCCCCTCCAGTGAGTTGTTTAATCGTCCACCACCATTCACGATTGGATATGGCAAGACTGCAGAGCTTAGATCTGATCCGTTGGTTGTGGGATCACTTAGCTCTGTCTGTCACTTGCTGCTTATGCTGTTTGGCGTGCAAGTAATCCTGTTTGGTGGCTTCACCAGGTTGACACCTCATCTTCAGGTATGCCTGCTGCTGCTCCTGGCATGCCCTCCTGCACTCTCCATTGATCCAGGGTTGATCCCCTGGCTTGATGGTAATGGTTGAGTGGGGTATTTGCCAGGCCATGGGGTGGCAGGTTGTGCTGGAGTACAATTCTGCTGCTGTTGATGGCCCACAGCGCCTCATGGATGCCCAGTCTTGAGTTGCTAGATCTGTTCAAAGTCTGCCTCTTTAGCACGGCGGTAGTGTCACACGATGGAGGTTATTCTCAATGTGAAGGCGGGACTTCATCTCCACAAGGACTGTGCAGTGGTCACTCTTACCAATACTGTCATGGATAGATACATCTGCACCTGGCAGATTGGTAAGAATGAGGTCAAGTACGTTTTTCCCTCTAGTTGGTTCCCTCACCACCTGCCACAGACCCAGTCTAGCAGCTCTGTCCTTTAGGATCCAACCAGCTCGATCAGTAGTACTGCTGCTGAGTTACTCTTGGTGATGGACTTTGAAATCCCCCAACCAGAGTGCATTTTGTGCCCTTGCCATCCTCAGTGCTTCATCCAAGTGTTGTTCAACATTCATCAGCTGAGGGAGGGGACGGTATGTGGATCAGCAGGAGGTTTCCTTGCCCACATTTAGCTTGAAGCCATGAGACTTTACGGGGTCCAGAGTCAATGTTGAGGACTCGTAGGGCAACTCAGTCCCGACTGTATATCGCTATGCCACCACCTCTGCTGGGTCTGTCCTGCCGGTGAGACAGGACATATCCAGGGATGGTAATGGTGGCGTCTGAGACATAGTCATACTCACAGAATCATACCTTACAATGTCAGGCTGTTGCTTGACTAGTCTGTGAGATAGCTCTCCCAATTTTGGCACTGGCCCCCAAACGTTAGTGAGGAGGACTTTGCAGGGCCAACAGGGCTGTTTCTGCCGTTGTCTTTTCCGGTGCCTAGGTCAATGCCAGGTGATCCGTCTGGTTTCATTTTTTTGAGATTTTGTAGCAACTGATACAATTGAATGGCTTGCTAAATCATTTCAGAGGGCAGTTAAAAGTCAACCACATTGCTGTGGGTCTGGAGTCACGTGTAGGCCAGACCAGGTAAGGATGGCAGATTCTTCCCTAAAGGACGTTAGTGAACTAGATGGGTTTTTCCTGACAATTGACAATGGATTCACGGTCATCATTAGGTTCTTAATTCCAGATGTTTTTTGAATTCAAATCCCACCATCTGCTGTGGCAGGATTCGAACCCGGGTCCCCAGAACATTATCTGGGTCTCTGGATTAACAGTCCAGTGATAATGCCACTAGTCCATCACCTCCCCAGTAGGTATTTCTTAAGGTGACATCAAGTATTTGCTGCTTCTAAGTGACACAATTTGAAATAGAGTGTAAAGTTGTTGGTGCTACTTGATCTCAGCAAAGAAGACTAGTTACTGGAAGTCACAGGGAAATAATTAGGATACACTCAGATGAGCTCAGACAGAAGATTGAAGTAGATAGTGGTGTCAGGTCAGCTGGCAAATGACCAAGCTGCTGACGGGCACTTTATCCAGTAGATCACAAACCAGGCACTTCTATTTAGCTGCCAGTTACTAGTACATTGAGCTGCAAGTTTTATACACAAGGTAGCTTCGCACTATCTGGGCTTGATATGAAATAAACGATAGAATTTGATCACTAATTAGTTGACAGCTCCATTATCATTGTACAAAGTGATTACCAGGATGGTGGCAGTTGGACTAGATAGATCTTAGTTTTTTTTTGTCAATTTGTTTCTGTCTCCACAGACCTATTCCTTAGGTGGCTTACTGCAGGTCGTGTGCCACTGATCTCAGTCCAGATTTTAGTGCAATCTTTGTCAAAACTTTTCATGAAATAATTTAAAGTTTTGATATCTGATTTAACTGCATTGAATAAAAGTCCAACAGAGCAATGAGATACTAGAGGCCAGGACCTATTCTTGAATTATTTAGAGGATAAGAATTACTTTACTACATGTCACAACTCCTGCTACACATGGTTATCCTTTTTCCAATGCTTTGAACTGTTCAGGAGTAATCAGATTTTTAAATTTAAATTAAATTTTTTAAACTTTTGAAATCGTGATTAATTTAAAATTTTCAACTTTGTAAATTGACACACTTAGCCTTCTCCAGAAGGCAAACGTAAGGGAAAAGTACCAAACTAAGGATCATATCACTAAAATGACTGACTCTATGTTATTTTAGGGAACCCCGGTGAAGCATGAAAGCCAATCTGCCATTAAGCATGATGTAAAGTCTCTGATCACAGCCTCCGGCAAGCACCCACATCCCATGCACCAGCTGGAGATGATCTCGGAGGGTGTGAAGGTCGTGGAAAGGAAGTATGAAGACATGAAACCTGCTGATCAGCTACGAGGCCGTCATAGTGCAGTGGTCAGCTCTGGGACCTCTGTGCTCAGGTCAACAATGCATGAAGCTTCTAAATCTCAGCTGAGTCCGGGCCTCTATGAAGATCCCAATGCAAGGAGAACACCATTGGGATATCCTGGCTTCATTCCTAGGGGCCCACCAATCGTCAGCAGACCACAAGAAGGTAAATTCATGCAGCTTTCAGTGATGAATCAATTTTGGGAGGGAAAATGATAAGGATATTATGTCTTATTATTTCTGAAGCTAAATGTTGTACAAATAAGTAACATAAGATTAACTTACACTCATCGGGTGGGTAAATTAGCTAAGCACAATAAAATCTCAATTCTCCTTACCACTGATACATTTGAGCCTTTGTATCCTGTGATTGCAGGTGTCATGACTTCAGGGAAGTCCACTGGACATGAAAGGAAGACTACTCTGGTCCCAACACAGAGAGACAGCTTGTCTGTGAAGTCCCCAGTCTCTGTGGTGGACCCATCAGCAACTCTCGGTCCTTATGATTCTCTCCATGGGAGAGGGAATCCTGAATATAGAAGTCATGTTCCTCACCACTTCGAGCATTCAATGGCTTTTCATCGAGCATTAGACCCAGGTAAGAGCATTTGATGATTGGAGTTGCAGAGTAGCGAAGGTTATTATTTTTATTGACAGTCACCCCAGGTGATTAACATTCTTTGATGTTTAGTATTATCCTCAGTGTATTTTTCATATCTCTGAAAATGCAGCACCACGTTCAGAGACACCACAGAAGCATTGGCTCTAAATGACAGTATGTTACAGACCCAGGTGGAATCAGAGGGCGAGCAGAAAATGTCCAGAACCTTTCCTAGACTTCAACAGTCTATAAACTACAGCAGTTTGTTCAAGTTCATTATATGTCATACGGTAGTACTTGTCCAGTTAGGCTAACTTTTATTAGATTTTTCTTATAGTTCAACAGTTGCAGCGAGTGTGTTGAGGACACGTTGTTTGTTATTTTACTACATTATACAATGGGAGTATGCTGTTCTGCCCCATACCTTTCTTTGGATGACAAGATTAAGGAAACCAAAACAATGTCAATTGTTGCATAGTGAACACAAACTCTGCTGTAGTATAGCAACAACAACAACAAAAACAGAAGTTGCTGGAAAAGCTCAGCAGGTCTGGCAGCATCTGTGAAGAAAAATATCAGCGTTAATGTTTGGGTCCAGTGACCCTTCCACAATGGACGCAAAATGTTAACTCTGATATTTTCCTCACAGATCCTACCAGACCCCGCTGAGCTTTTCCAGCAACTTCTGTTTTTGATCGTGATTTACAGCATCTGCATGTCTTTCAGTTTTTATCTCTGCTGTAGTACCTTTGTTCTGACATTCTTTTCATGTTTCTTTTCAGCTTACCTGTTTTCCCGGCAGCTTCCTCCAAATCCCAGTTACTCTAGTCACTATCAGCTGTATGCAATGGAGAATACACGACAGACCATCCTCAACGACTATATCACTTCTCAGCAGATGCAAGTTATCACCAAGCCAGACGGCACCAGAGGAATGTCACCACGAGAAACTTTAGGTGTTCCCTATGCTGCTGGATCCAGAGGTGAGATCCTGCTTGATTGTTAATTAGACAAAGCCTTGTTTCAAATTCTGGACTAATAAAGTTGCCTAAATTGCAGCAATCATCGAATTGGGACCGGTGTCTCACACCATACTCGTGCCAGGTGGGAGCAGTACTCCTCCTATGGAGAGAATAACCTACATCCCGGGGAACCAAGCCCCTTACCCTGGCAGATACAACCACTCTCCTATATCACCAGGTAAGAATGCCATTTGGGACTAGCTAGCAGAACTTTTTAACCACTTGGGAGCAAATTTAATGCAAGGTAAAACAGTGATGACAGTTCAATTTGTGTTGTAAAGTCTCATTGTATACACCATGATCAATAAACACAACTGTGGGTTGGATAGATCAGTAATAAAACTGATCTATGTTCACCATCTAAACTGGACCAACTCGGCAGTACTCCAAAGGGTAGATTAAGCATTCAGTCTCTTGTTCAATTTCAGATGCTGCAATCCTTAATGCAGAGCACCATCAGTGTTGGAAAGAAAAGCAGGCAAGTCTGTAAAAAGGGAGCTGAAGTTCAGCAATATTTAAAAATGTGTAGATTGTAAAAACGAGAAAATTGGGAAGGCAGAGAGTTTCACTATTTGACAGCAAGATATTGTCACTCAGAATGTGCTGATGAAAGTGCCTCATCTCTTGACTCTTAAAGGTTTCTCCACCATCTGCAAAGACAAGTTCAGGAGTGTGCTGAAATATTCACGAATTGCTTGACTGGGCACAGTTGTAATAGCGTGATACTAAAGGTTGGGTATCATTCATCCGAAAATCTCAGGACCTACTGTTTCTCCAATAAAGGTTATTTTTGGACTTCAGATACGCTTCTCTGTTGATCCATTCAATCTGTTTGGATCTGTCTAGACTCTTTGTGGGGAAAAGAAACTTTGCTTGCCCCAAATGGACCTAAAAGCGAAGTTTTTTTCCAAAGGGCCTGAACAGACCTACAGGCACGTTGTGTTCGGGCCCTTCGGAAAAATACTTCGCTTTTGAGTCCATTCGGACCACAGTTGTGTCGGAATGTCCTGAATTCACCATATTTATAGGCCAGTTTGGGTCCACTTTTGAAAAGACCTTTTTGACTTTGGGGTGTGTGGATAAATGATACCTGCCCTGTATGCAGGTGAAAGCTGTTTTCTGATTGATGTCCCTGGGCTTCTGCATGCATCCCTCCACCAGTTGGTACTATATGACTCCAGATTTTATGTCTAAACTAAACACTGCAATTGTTTAACATGCTTACTTTAGTACTTTGTTACCATTCATCTCCCAGTTCCTGTCTGATCATATCCAGTGCAGACTTGGTGCATGTCACCAGTCATTCATTGTCATTGAGACAACATTGTTATATCACTGTTGATGTCACCATCTGTAAGGAGAGTGTGATAGAAAAGTTCCACTTGTTTGGATGAGTGCAGCTCCAACATTCAAGAAGCTTGACACCATTCAGGACAAAACATTCCACTTGATTGGCACCCTATTCACCTTCAACATTCCTCTCTTCACCACCAATGCAAAATGACAGCAGAGCATACCATGTACAAAATGCACTGTAGCAACTCACCAAGGCACTTCTATGTTACCTTTCAAACCTACAAACTTGACGACCTAGAAGGAGAAGAGGAACAGATGTATGGGATCACATGCACATTATCTCCAAGCCACAAACCATCCTGACCTGGAACTACATTACCATTCCTTCACTGTTACTCAGTCAAAATCCAAGAACTTCCTCTTTATCAGCACTGAGATGGAGGAAGATCATTGATGAAGTAGCTGAAGGTGTTCGGACCTAAGACTTTACCATGAGGAACCCCTGCAGAGATGTCCTGGACCTGAGATGATTAATCTCCAACCACCACAACTATCTTCCTGTCTGGTAGGTATGATTCAAACCAGCAGAGACATTTCCCCCAATTCTCTCCATCAATGACTTTGGTTTTGCAAGAACTCCTTCATGCCACTTGGTCAAATGCTGCCTTGATATCTATAGCAGTCACTCTCCATTCAACTCTGGAGGTCAGCTTTTTTGTCTGTGTAATGAGGTCAGGAGCCAGATTGAACATAGCAGAACCCAAACTGAGCATCACTTCATGCCTTATTTCTTTGCAGTGCTGCTTGACTGCTGGTGTTGGAGTAGACTAGAGGGATGGTAATTGGGCAGGTTGGATTTGCCCTGGTGTTTATCTATGGGACATACGTGGACAATGTTCCACATTGTCGGATAGATATCAGTGTTATACCTGTACTGGAACAGCTTGGCTAGAGGCACGGCAAGTTCTGCAGCACAGGTCATCAGTACTGTTGCTGAAATATTTTAGAGCCCAAAGCCTTTCTTGTATCCAGTGCCATCACCTATTTCTTGATACCACATGGAGTGCAAGGAACCTTCAGAGGTGAGTGAGATTGATCATCCACTAATTTTATCTGGAAGAAGTTGGATGCAAGTGCTTCAGTTTTGTCTTTTGCACTAATATGCTGGGCCGTCCATTGTTGAAATTAGGAATATTTTTGAAGAACGGGGGGCGGATATGCTGGGCCGTGAGGTTATAGATTGTGATATTTCAGTTTAGAAATGCAGGTTACTTTAAAGGTCAAACAAAAGAGGTATTTTCTTATCAAGAGATAACAAGGTGTAGAGCTGGATGAACACAGCAGGCCAAGCAGCATCAGAGGAGCAGGAAAGCTGACGTTTTGGGCCTAGACCCTTCTTCAGAAATTTTATTATCAATCTGTGCAGAGATGTTATTACAGTACAAACTTCTAGAGCAGTTAGGATTTGAATGTGGATCCTCTGGTTCAGGGGTAAGGACACTATCACTGCATCACTACAGCCCTAAAAATACTCTATTTACACACAGATCAGCACCTCCCCATTGGGGAATTGAACCCGGTCTTCCGCATAGCAGGCAAGGATACGAACCGTTATATTAACATGTAGCTCCCTAAAGGGTCAAACAGAACACTCCCAGAATAGATTGAGAGCACATGATGCTCACTGAAATTTGGGGAAGAACCCAGAATTATAGAATTGTTATAGTGCAGAATTCAGTCCATCATGTGTGCACCAGCACTTCAAATGAGCATGATGACCTCGTGCAAATCTGCTTTCTTCTCATACCCTTGCACACTATTTCTTTTCAAATAAACATCCAACGTCATCTTGAATTTCTCAATTGAACCTGCCTCAACTACGTTTCCAGGCAGTGCATTCCATGCTCTAACTACTTTTCCCGTCACAACACCCTTGCTTCTTTTGTACATCACTTTAAATCCATGTCCTCTCTCTTTCTTATTCGTTTTATGAGCAGGAAAAGCTTCTCCCTATCTACTCTGCCCACCCTGCTCATGAGCTTTGATAGAGATTTTCAAAATCTACTTCGCCATCTTCTCTCCAAGGAAAACAGTCCCAAGTTCTTCAGTCTATCCTCATAGCTGAAGTTCCTCATTCCAGGAACCATTCTCGTGAATTGCTTCTGCATTCTCTCCAATGCATTCACATCTTTCCTATAATGTGGTGCTCAGAACGGTGCACAGTATTCCAGCTGACAAGTTGTTTTCTACAATTTCAGTATCACCTAGTTGCTCTGATATTCTATGCCCCCATTTTTAAAAAAGCCAAGGAGACTATATGCTTTACTAACGGCTCTCTCCATTTGTCCTGCCACCTTCAATGATCTGTTCACATACACATGCTATATCCTCTGCTCCTGTACCCACTTTATAATTGTAAGGTGTGTCAGAGGAAGAGAGAGAAATCTGAAAACACAACTCTTAAATAAATTGCAGATTGGCTTCAGGGCAGGGAAAGGATCTGGAAGTGAAAGGAAGAATTTTTTTTAAACCATGCAGTAAAATCCTTTTACATCTCTGAACACCTTTTGCTGCCTAATTCAACAAATGAATGTTGGTCCATTAAACAAGAGAGGATACAGTTCTGCTTCTGATGACCCACAGTGTTGAACAAATTTTAGTTTTGAGTTGCTAGGTCAGTTCGAAGTCTGTCTAATTCACCATGGCGACAGTGTCACACAGCACGATAGAGGGTACTTTGTCCCAGTAAAGCCTATGCAGTGGTCACTCTTATCAATGTTGTCACAGACAAATGCATCTGTGACGGAGAGATGGGTGATGACAAAGTTAAGGAGGTATTTCCTTCTTGTTAATTCCCTCAGTACATGTTGCAGACCGAGTCTAAGAGCTATGTCCTTTAGGACCTGACCATTTCGGTCAACAGTGGTGCTAGTGATTCACCCTTGGTGATGTACCTTCAATCCCCTACCCAGAGTGCATTCTACACCTTTGCCATCCTCCGTGTTTCCTCCAAATGATGTTCAACATGAAAGATTACTAATTGACCAGCTAAGTGGGGACACGAGAGATAATCAGGAGGCTTCGAGTTTGAACTGATGCTGAGAGATGCCTGATTCTGGAGTCAATCTTGAGAACTCACAGGGCAACTCCCTCCTGACTGTAAACCATTGTGCCGCCACTTCTGCTGAGCCTGGTCCTATTGGTGGGACAGGATGTACCCAGAAATGGTGGTGTCTAGGACATTATTATAAGTTACGATTAGTATGTATGACTATGTTAGTCTAATGCATAACTCGTCGGTAGGCCAGCTCTTGCAATTTTGGCACTAGCCTCCAGGTGGTGGTAAGGAGGACTTTGCAGGATCAGCAGGGTTGTGTTTGCCATTGCCATTTCTGGTGTCTTGCAAATTGGTTTGTTCAGTTTAATTCCGAAAATGTACTGGATTTTTGTTCAACTGCAAGGACTGATGAAAGAGAAGCATACTTCTCCCAGAAAGTTGTTTTTTTTTTCTGCAGTTTAATTCCATGAGTAGCAAGAATGTAAATTTCAATGTTTTTCTATCTTTAGGTCACCCTGCACATATGTCTGCCACCACAGCCACTGCAGAGCGTGAAAGAGAAAAAGAGCGAGAGAGAGAACGGGAGCAGAGGGAACGGGAACGGGAACAAAGAGAACGGGAGAGATTAGCTGTGACAACTTGTGACCTGTCTTACCTTAGAGCAGGTGAGAAATTGCATTCTAACTTTGCGAGTCCTGAAAATGTTTACTCCAACAAAATCAGTTTAGTTAACAGTGATATCTGAACAGTAAATGGGGCATCCCAGTTCTCCTAGAACAACCCTTGAATGAATAAAATTCTTGAATTGATACTGAGCCAGTTGAGTCAATGTTTGTATTTTGTCACTTTATTCCAAATCATCAATCTTACTGTCAAATGAGAGAAGCAACACCTTAGTAATGCAGTCAGTCCCCAGTTTGATGTGAACTTCTACGAAGAAAAAAGCCCAGCCAGGTTCATTCTACGTGTCATTATGGGACAGTAATAAATGGAATGGCTGGCATTCCACACATGGAACAACAATATGGTCTTATTTTTGATTTATATTCTGATTTTCTTTACAGCAACCGACCCTGAGTCTGAGCAATTATTCTTGGGGCATAGCTCCCTTTGGCTGTAGTTGATAAAATTGTAACTTGTTCACTTTTTCCATATCTATGAGTATGGAGCTGGTGACATGGATCTTATGATTGTTAAGTAGGTGAGAATGTGGGTTTGAGGTTACAGTCAGCTCAGTCATGATCTTATATAATGGCAGGACAGGCTCAAGAGGCTAAATGACCTATCCTTTTTGTTTTCATATGTTTATGTATCAGTTAATTTTCAATGAAAAAATTTCCTATTTGATATTTGCACAGGTCCTGAACAGACCAGTAGGCCAAGTAGCCATGGATATGTCCGTTCTCCATCGCCATCAGTACGAACGCAGGAGACCATCTTACAGCAACGACCCAGTATATTTCAAGGAGCCAATGGCAAAGGGGTTATAACTTCACTGGATGCAGCTACGCAGTCTCGGATAATGTATGTTGAAGGGCAGAGTTTCCCAGAACAGAACAAAGTTACTGATTAAAGTTTATGTTGAAGCTTCTTATATTTGCCCTGAGGATAAATCACTGTCAGTGAAGCAAATGGCAGTCCTGTCATCAGCTTCCTCCTCTTTCTCATCCCAGGCTCAATTTTTCACTCAGTTTTTTCAGAGGTGTGAAGTCGTTCACTAAGCTTCAACCAGTTCCTATTTATTGTAAATAGTGTGTCTCAGCTCCTTTGTCAGGAATGCATCATCTGTAATATCTAGTGTTTGCAAGAGTTCTGGGTGTCACATTAAAACAAAATGACATTTTTTATTCACAGGCAGGTACCACAGGGAGCCCTGTCCATGGCACAGGGATTGTCTGCATCCCGCTACAACACTGCAGCAGATGCCCTTGCAGCATTGGTGGATGCTGCAGCCTCTGCACCTCAGATCGAGATGACAAAGGGGAAAGAGAACAAACATGAAGCCCCCCGAGTGGAAGAAATGACCGCTCGCAGAGTTTCTGAGCAGCAGCAGAATATTCATCACCAGACACAGCAACAGCCACAAAGTGAACATGAGCGACGGTCAGTACAGTCACCGTATTCATCCACGGCCAAGGGTCAGGGTCAATCCAGCTATCCAGAGAACATTAAGGACAAAGCACCACCCCCCAAATCTAGGTATGAAGAGGAACTCCGGACTCGAGGAAAGACCACAATAACAGCAGCAAATTTTATAGATGTGATCATCACCAGACAGATTGCCTCCGATAAAGACAGCCGTGAGCGAGGATCTCACAGCTCAGACTCCTCCAGCAGTGGTAAGCACCTTCCAGTGTAGTCTGTCATTCCGATTATGTAGTATTTGAGGCAGCTAAGTTGATGCATCATAATCTCCAGCAGCAGAGTTACTTATGTGAAAGCTTCCTGATACTGATAATTATGAACTACGGTAGATGACTGACCTGAGTAGCTGGAAGATTATATAACTCTGTATGTGAGCAGAGACTTTGTATTTATGTTCACTGGGAGAAAGGTATTCTTCCTTGGAGCAGAACCCCTGGGATACTTCTGTGGTAACCAAATTCTGGTGGGATTGTCCTTGAGACCTGATGTAAAGATCAGTAATCAATATGTGCACACGATTCCCTCAGAAATGAAGGGCTAAATACTTAATATTTCTGTAGTATTACTTGAAGAGAAGAATGTTGGCCAAAACATGGCTAGAACTGTAGCTCCCTGGATAGTTTCCATTCTCTAAAGCATCCTGTCAAATTTTGCTTCTTTCCCCTTTTTTACTGGCTGTGTAATTATGTTGGTATTAAGGTCAGCTGGGACAGGGCATTATTGACATACCTTCAAGTTTACACCAAATGACTATGAAAGCCCAACTTAAAGCGGTTTCCCACTGCCCACCAACTTACACCACTTACTAATTGAGAGCACAAGAACATCCTGTTCATAGTTGAGTACAAAGGACCTTAAGTTCAGTAAGGATAGCTCAGTTTAACTGGTTCCATGGGCCCCTGGGACCAAATAGCAAGATGCAAGGTTTAAGGGTAGCTCAGAATAAAGGATTTATGCCAGAATTTGTTTTTCTCCAAGTATCTTCCCATCGCTATGACATGCCCAGTGTGGATGCGATTGAGGTAATCAGTCCTGCAAACTCACCTGTCCAGTCACAGGAGAAGGCTGAACCTGTCCAGCCCGAGATACACAAATCTTCCCAGGGAGATGGTAAGTTTCAAGCTCTTTAAACCTCTCCAGTTTCTCTCTCCTCTTAAGGAAGTGCCAATCATGCATAATAAGATAAGTTCCCCACATCACAGAAATCAGCTTTCAGCCAGTTGAATTAACTCCAATTGATACTAAGACATGGTTGAATAGACTCGGTCCACCAAATGCTAATGACACCTTTTCTATGCTGCAAATACCTGTTCCATAGGCTCGCCCAGTATAGCTACATCACTGGCGTCAGCCTAACAATGTGGAAAATGGCCCAGGGGAGCTTATTTTATTATGCATGATTGGCTGATGCCAGTGATGTAGCTATACTAGGCTGACCACAAATAGTTGTCTGTATGAGGCATTCAAGCTTGGGCTGATAAGTTTCAAGTAACATTTCTACCACGCAAGTGTTAAACAATGACTACCAATGACTCTGACCAACGAGAGAATCTGACTGTTTGTATTTATGTGACATCTTTAACATATTAAAAAATCTCAAGTTAGTTGACAGGAGCACTATAGAGCAACATTTGAGACTAAGCCATGTCAGGCAATTTTAGGGAAGATGGGCAAAAACATGGTTTAAGAAGAGTTTTTAAAGAACACCTTAAAGGAAAGTAATGTTGCAGACTGGGAAGAGAAATCCTAGACTTAGACCCAGGCAACTGAAGATATGGCCACCTATCCTGGAGTTATTAAAATCAGGGAAGCTCAAAAGGCCAGAATTAGAGGATGCAGCTATTTTATAAGGGTTTTCAGACTGAAGGAGATTACACAGATAGGGAACAGCAAAGCCATGGAGGGATTTGAAACCGAAAGATGAACATTTATGAAATTCAGTATAACTGGGAACCACCTTAAGTCAGTGAGAACAAGTGTGATGGGGGTCTTGAATAAGAAAATGGCAACTGCATTATAAAATCATTAAATTTACAGAAGTTAGATTCTAGGAGGCTAGCAATGAAGCCATTGGAGTAGTCAAGTCTAGAGACAACATAGGCATAGAAGAGGATTTCAGCAACAGATGAGCTGAGGCAAAGGTGGAATCAGATTAATGTTAAGGAGAGGAGAGAAGGCAGCCATAGCAATAATGCACATATGTAGTCAGAAGCTGATTTCAGGATCAGATAGAACACCAACCTGTGAAGAGTCTGGTTTTACACCAGACTGATGAAACAGAGAGAGAGAGAGAATTGTTGCAATCCTCCCAATATTTAATTGAAGGAAGTTTTTGCTCGTTTGGTACCAGATATTGGACAAAGCAGTATCATGATTTAATAGAGGGGTCGAGAGGTAGTGGTGAGGATAGAGCTCAGTGTCATAGCTGGCATTGTGTTTTTGGAGATGTCGCCAGAGATAAAAATGTAGATAAGCAATAGTGCTCTTTTAGTAATATTGGAAGGAGGGCATACAAAAGAGAAATGAAGTTAGAGAGGAAGTAAATTAGCTTGAGTACCTATTTGACATGGGAGAGAGGACCTGCAAGAAAACAGAAAATGAAGCATAATATTGAGAGGGACCAGAGAGGGTAAGTTAGATGTGCTGGATCTGTGAAATGATTACCAGGATTCAAAATAATAGGATAAGGAAACCAATCCCTTGGAATCAACCATCAATTGCTCACTCGGTATACTACTTTGCAGTTGGATAAATATGCACACTGCAGTTGGCATATTTTGTTCAACGGGCTAGTCTGTGAAGCTACTGAAGGCACTGTATTCTAAGATTAGACCTTAACTCCATGGAAATATAAATGCTTCGATGCCAGGCTAACCTACTTGCCTTTTAAACCATTGAGGATCTTACCCTTGACAGCTACTGAGGGAAGTGTGGACATCCATTCCTGAGTGTGGATGCACGGTGGAAGATCTTATGTTGAGTGTTTATCTGTTTTTAAAGGTGAGCCTAATACCCGAGGGTTTGATGTGCCCATGAGTCGGTATAGGATGATGCAGAAGTCACCGTCTCCACAGCAGCAGACACCATCTTCCCAGCCTGACAGCGTGTATTCCTCTGTTCCTAACCCTCAAGTTTCCAAAACACACAAATTGATCACTCTCGCTGATCACATCCATGTAAGTGAGGCCTGGCAAGAGGTTGCACATTGATCTGGCTTTCTGTCTGTGTGTAATTGTATCATGTTGCTTTCATGAGGGCATACAGAATCTTTACTCTTTTATCACGTGAGGTTGGATGCCACATTGAGTTTGGTTTCAAGACGGATTGATGGAGAAGGCAGAGTCAAAGATTGGCTTCAGACAGACTTCAAAGTAACACAAAAATTATACATTCATACTGAAAACTGCATTATATGGTAATCACAAACCAGGTTATAACTAATAGTTACATTAGCTAAAGACTAATCTATCTTTATGTTCATGTCAATCTTCCAGAGTGTGTTGTGACTCCGCCTACACTGTAGAATTTGTACCTAATGATGTGCAGCACTGTAGACATCATCACAAACTTGTTCCAAGGTCCTGAATCCCTTATGCACTACTTGGCTTTATTAGGTAACACAGCATATAAGAGCAGAGAAGTTATGCTTGCACTATATAAAGTACTAGTTAGGCCACAATTTTGCATAAAGTCGTTATCACTACATTGTGAGAGAGCGTACAAAAGAGACTTACCAGATCATTTCTCAGAAGACCGAATTTTAGCTTTGAGGAAAGATTAAATAGGCTAGGTTGCTTACTTTGGAAGAGTAAGGTTTGAGGGTGGACTTGATTGAGATGTACAAAATTATGAGGTGCTTAGACAGAATGGATAGGAAGAACCAATTTCTCTTAGCAGAGGGGTCAATAACTGTGGTGAGGTTATGGGGGTAGGGCTCAAGCAGATTTAGGATATTGAAAATTTTGTTAAACAGAGCTTGGTGGGATGTACTTTGGAACTCTTAATCTGAAGGGCAGTAGAGGCCGAACCGTTGACATTTATGAAAATCCTAAGATATGATCCTAGCTGATGTTCCTACTGAATTTATCAGGTCTCGGAATGAAATCTGGCTTGTTAGGTCTTTTTACTGTGGTGGTCTTTCACTGAAACATAAATACACAAAGCTGGAGATTTGATTTAATAATAGAACAGTTTATTACATTAAAGTATACCAAAACAAGCTATCTAAACATAATGCAATTTGATATATTTCAAAGCACACAGCAAAACAAATCCTATCTGCTGTCCAATGCCACCACTATACAGTTGCTCAAAAAAAAAGTTTTTGTCTTCTTTATCAAATCTATGGGTTTGACTTGCTGCTACTTTCTCGTTTCAGTCCTATGAGCTGTGAGGCCTTTTTCCTTGGCCACTTTTACCCCTTGAGATGTTAGGCTTTCTCAGTGAAAGAAGGTAGTGTGCAAAGCTTCCAGATTGGACGTGCCTGGTTAGAACTGTGCAGATTATTAAAAGACTGAGGTAGCATAGTTCCTAACTGCTGTAAACAACCTTCTTTCTCTCAGAGAGACTGTATAAGCATCTGACTTCAGTCAGGATCCCTTCGAATTGAGCAAAAAGCTTTCCGATCTTTGGGTTTTTCTAAGCCAAAAGCAATCTTGAATTATTCTAAACCCAAAAGCAAACTAATTTTTCACCTGTCATTAAATTATACAGTAAAACAAGCTACATTAATACTCCAAGAGACCCTTCAGTCACCCACGCCCTTACAGATAAGTTTTATTGTTAATGCAAGGGATGTGGATGTCATTGGTTTCATTGCTCGTCCCTAATTGCCAGAGGGCAGTTAAGAGTGAACCACATTGCTCTGGATCTGGAGTCACTTGTAGGCCAGACTGGGTAAGCACAGCAGATTTCCTTCCCTCGGGACATTAATGAACCAGATGGGTTTTTTTTCTGTCAATCAACAGTGGGTTCATGGTCATCATTAGATTCCCAGTTCCAAATTTTTGAGTTCAAATTCTACTATTTGCCTCGGTGAGATTCAAACCCAGATCCCCAGAACATTGCCTAGATGTCTGGATATATAGTCCAGCAATAATACCATCAGGCCATCACCTCCCAAAGATGTTGGGTTTTAGATCATGTTTCCCGAAAGACTGATCAATTTAATTATTAAACCCCTTCACAAAAAAGACCAATACTCATTTGCCTCTAGTTTAAAATACAAACTCTTTTTAATAAATTGGTATTAATGCATATAAATCACACATCTCTCATCACAGCTTCTATGAACCAAGAGCTGGAATGTGGAATTAAGCTAGATAGTTCTATTTTTGGCTGGTCTGAGGGGCAAGAATAGACTGTTCTAAACTTTCTATGCTTCTATAAATAGTTTCTATCGCTAGTGCACCAGCTTGTGTTAGAGAGCATGTGTGGGTGGCCAGGCAGACTATGTTAAAAGCTTGTCAACCTGCCAGTCAGCAAGAACAGCTAGCAAATGTGGAAAGTCCACAAAGCCACTCAGTTTTTGTGCTTTTTGTATCCTGTGAACTGTAGGTATGTGCACTAGAGATTTTATTTGAAAGTGAATTTCTTTGTTTTTAGCACATTATTACACAGGACTTTGCCCGAAACCAACCCAACAGCCCGTCATCACAACAGCCTCCAGTGTCTACATTCCAAACATCTCCAGTGCTCTCTAACCGAGGAAAGAGTTCCACTCATTATGGCACAGACTCTCAGCCACAGACCACTCAAACAGCTCTTCTTCAGAGACCACCATCCAGGGTCTCTCCTGAAAATCCAACCGAAAAGG